CAGTGGCTGGCAGACTGACGAGCCGATTTCAGAACAGCTGAGTCTAATCCTTCAGCTGCAGGCTGGAAACTTGAAAAAGACAAGTAAAAAGACTTGCAGACGGTGGGTCAGACAGTAAACAGGAGAAAAAAGTTAATATTTGAATGAATTCTTAACGAACTGCTGGGTGTGTCATCAGGGATGCACTGTAAAAAGATTATTACACAGATGCAAGCACTACAACTTAAAAACAAATTGAATTTAATTATTCAGCAGCGATTTAAAGCCAGGCACTGGCCAACAAATGTCACTATATCTGATCTGAGATGTATGATGAATTATGCTCAGGGGGGCAACGGGGCAGTGTGCTGTTTATACAAGAGAAATCCATCTTATGCTACATGCTGACATGACAATTTAATTAGACTGAACAAAGACACTGTAGTCTACTGATTTATTTATCTCTCTAGCTACCCATGTATTATATATATGTATCCACAGGTAATCAATTAATTCTGGCTTTCAATGGCCCATAGGTTAATCAGCTGTTGTTGGAAACACTGACTGGACTGAGTGACAAGAATATGCATATTTATAGATAGTGAATTTGGACAAAGTATGAGTTATTGGAGGCCATGTCGATCAGAAATACTAAATGAAGACTTAAATTCTGCCTCCATCTGGTTTTGCCTGGATTCCACTTTGTGGCTGCCAATGAAACATGCCCTCATCGACATCCTTTGGTTCTGCTGGTAACTTATTATGATTCTTGGCGTCAACGGATTTAGCTATGCTGTATGCTGATTGGATGTTTAACCTTTTGACTCCCAAACCAGGATCTGAACACATATTCCATAATGGGAGCCATTCATCCAGATGACCTCCTCTGTCACTGTGACAACTCGGCAGCAGACAAACTGACAGAGATTCTATGTGTGTTTCTGTAGAAAAAGAGATAAAAAAAGGAACAAAAGTGCTTATCTGAACCAGTCTCAGGTCACATCATCCCTCTCTCTTTGTCTCTTTCTGTCACTCACTGTGTATCTCTACCTCTCATTCCCAGATTAGTGCCTTCTCCTTTTGGCTTATTGCTGCTAGAAGAAAGCAACACATTTACAGTCCTTTGTGTGGCTGTACGGGCGTGCACATGGCAGCCCACAGGCTGTGTTTCTCAGTTATTTTACCAGTTTCTCATACAGAGACAGCAGGAGGACATTAGGGCTGACACCCTCTCTCTCTGTTGTTCTTCTGTGATACAGGGAGCTAGGTTCTAAATTACACTGTATTTCAGTTTACAGGCAGTTCAACTACAGAGTTTTGTCTTAGCTAAAGGCTTGGTAGTTGAGGCTTGATTAATCTTGTCTGCAAACCTAACCTGCACAATCCTCATCACACCTGCTTCAGATTCAGTGAGACACATGCAAATAACTGGTTCACGTTTCTGTCCAGTAGAGGTTTATTTCACATGAGAAGCTTGGCTGCTATTTCACTGCTTTGACTTTGTTTATGCAGATCGTACTTTTTTTTTTTAATCTTGTGTATGATGTTGCATGCATTAATTATAGCGAATATAAAGCTTATACTGTAGCAGTACAACTGCAGAGTAACAACTTCAAAACGAGACAATTAAGTGTGAATTCCCCTGAAACTGAAGTGTTGCTTCTGCCAAAGGTTGCTAACACACATTACAAAGCCAACAACAAGCACTGTTGTTGTCTACTGTGCTAATGATCAATCTACCGTGTATAAGACAGCCTCAAAAAGTGGGTCAGTCAGGTTGCAGTTGCTCTTCTCTGTATTTGGGCCTTTTTGTGCCTTTATTTGTGGATATTCCAAGTCTGGAGCACAGTGAAGTCTGGCAGTGCATGTGATTTATTAGTTCTGGGGAATCGTAACTGCATGTTGATTGTGTGGCCACTTAAGAATGAGAAAATCCTGATTTCAATGTGCATAGATAAATGGATTCATCATCAAAAAAGTGCAAGAAGCAAGACAGAAACACTGATCGTTCCAGCCTGTGTCTTTACACATTTTCTTTAAAGAAAACCGGTTAGCTTGAGCTTTGTTTTACGTCATAGTGGCAATTATAAAATATGTCCTTTACCTACAGGAAACATTACAAATATAGGTGCAATAGTGAATATTAACACAACAAGCATTGAATGTAAAATGCATCGGTTTCCTGTATGCGCAGTATTAACACATAAAGACCATAGAGGCTGCAACACAAAGCTGACAAGCTTTTCTTGATAGTGTGAAGTAGACTAGAAAACTGCCGTTAAAACTCATTAACTATCAAGCTCATATATCTTTAAAAACGCGACACTGATGGGCGTCTGCGA